GGACAAGTTGAGGTATTTGAATATCGATTCCAGATTTTTATTTCTAATTAGACAACTATACTCTAATACTATTTGCAAGCAGGGCTCAATACTGGCTCCTACTTTGTTCAACATATTCCTGTATGACTTACCCAAGGTGAATGGTCATAGCCCAAGCTCCATCCTACACATGTTCTCTTACTCTTGTGTGCAGATGATACTGCATTATTACACTTATCTGGAATCGGCCTTAAACTCTTTAATTCATTGCTTTGCCAATTACATAGACTGAAAATTAGCTATATTAAATCCAAAATTCTAATTTTTACCAAAAAGTAGAAGCCCATGTCTTAGCAGATCAGGGGCATTAAAATTGAACAGGTCAAATACTTTCAAGGCCTAAGTATTTGCTATAGAGCTAACCTGTTGTAGCTCTCACAGTGACAAGCAGTAATTGTTTCTGCTCATACCAACATTGCAGCAATATATTGTTTCTTTTACAGTTCTGTTTCCCTCAAGGTTTTTGAGGCTAGGATTGGTTTTCTGTTACTGTATGGCTCCCCTATTTGTATTTCTGCAATCAATAAATCATTCCAAGTTTCTCCAGAAACTAATGGGCTTTCCTAGATGTGCATTGAGACAGGTCAAAACAGTCTTGAAACCTTAGAATGGATGAGAACAATAAAATTCTGTCTGCATATACATTTTCAAGCAGCTCCCAATAGCTATATTCCCTCTCTGTTATCAGATCATTTTATTTCAGAATGCTATTCTTTGATTCTCAGAAAGATCAAAGCAACTGGCCTGTCTTTAGAAGCACTCTTAATGCTCACAAATGTGGAAGCCTGTAAGTCAGTCAAGAGCAGACTTTTGGATCTTGGCTTCCATAATCTGACTCTTGCAGCAAAGACAACTTGTTCCCGTACCACATCATTAATTCCATGCGAACATCCAGTCATGGCAGCATATCTTCACCTTTTGATTAATCCTACCCAGAAGAGAGCTATGGCGACTACAAGATGTAATGTGTTGCCATCAGCTCTTTTGGATGGGAGATATAAAAAAAGTGGAACATTCCAAAAGGGTTGGCTCTTGTGACTTGGTCTCTACTGAAACACTCCATAATTCTTTCTTTGTTTGTCCCAAATATTATAATATGCAGATGAAATAAAATAATTCCAATTTTTCAGTGTTCTCAAATTCCATATCTTCTGAACAACCCTGATGTGTTCTTTTGTGAGACTGTTTTATTTTATCCTTGAGATTAGTAACTTTTAAAGTATGCTTTCTTTTTATTTGTGGCTTCCTCTTTTTGTATATGCCTGTGTCGAATGCCAATGTTGTTGTTGTATACTAATAAAGGCTGTGTGTGTGTGACACAGTATTCCAGGTGAGGTCTAACCAAAGCAGAATAGAGAGGCACCATGACTTCACTCGATCTAAACATTATACTCTTTTTGATGGCTCCCAAAAACCTATTTACATTTTAAGCTGCTGCATAACACTGTTGGCTCATGTTCAACTTGTTTTCCATGAAGACTCCAAGTTCTTTTTCCACATGGACTGTTGCCAAACCAGGCATCACCCATTTTTATCTTTGCATTTCATTTTTTTCTGCCTAAGTGTAATATCTTTTGATATATTGTCGAAGACTTTCATGGCTGGAATCACTGGGTTGCAGTGAGTTTTCTAGGCTGTATGGCAATGTTATAGAGGCATTATCTCCTGATGTTTCACCCACATCTATGGCTTCCTCAGAGCTTGTGAGGTCTGTTGGAAACTAGGCAACTGGATTTTATATATCTGTGGAACAGGTACAGCTAACACCTCCCAACAAAATATTTCCCCAGGCAGGATGCAGCCAGGCTTTGAAGCTGAAAGGTCAGTCAATGCTAATCAAGCTGGCCAATTGCAACATTCACACTTGCCTCAAACAGACAAGAGTTCTTTCTCTCACCCTGGACATTACTCCACAGATCTATAAACCTCACTGAAGGCAGCATAATAGCTTAAGGTGTACAAGGCCAAGTCTCTTCTCTAATATCTTGATATCTTGCTACCATTTGTTGTGAAAAATGACCTAATGGTAAACCTGACTCTAATAAAGAGCCCTCAACAGGTTTTCAAACGGCCATCTCCAAAAAACCTTTCACTTTTTGAACTGTGCAGTAAATAATATTGCAAAGGTGACAAGGAAGATCTGAGAACCTGTGACAGCCAGGTGAAACAGTTACATCAGAACTCACACCAAGCAAGTCCACAATAAATAAATAAATAAATAAATAAATAAATAAAACTGAAACAAACAATAGAAAGAGCACATCATATTTCAGACACTATTAGTGCCAATAGCTATCAGTCTGGACTTACTGATATTGAATGGAAATATAAATCTTGCAATTGAATTGAATTTTAATTGTTAATTCATTTTGAATTTTGCTTCTTTATTCCCTCCTCTTTCTGCCTAAATGTACTTAATTTGCTTATTTCTAAAAGTTGAAATAAAAAATCTAAAAAATGTTAAATCCCCACAAATAAGAAGGGCTAAATAGAATTCCGTCATATAATATATAATATACTCATATAATACAAGGATATCCAATTTAAAATTGCTGAAAACACACGCACAATGAAATAAAGGAATATATATCCATAGACTGATTCTCTGTCTGTCTGTCTGTCTGTCTATCTCCTTTGAATGATATGTTTGAGATCTTTCCTTGTTTTGGTTGGAATCTGTTGTATCAAACACATGCATGTCTTGTTACATTTTTTGACTACTAACAGATTTCTTATGACATTAGACTATAAAACTTAGCCAAATAGAAAGTGACTGCTATCCTAAATCTGCAGTCCTTCGTGTTTCTTCAGGAAGACAGTCTCTGTGTGTCTTCAGCAGGTGGATTCCAAGTGGGCCTCCAGGGTTTTCATCTCTGGCTGGGATGTATGAAATGAAGGGCAATAAGGTCATCAGGTTCAAGAATGATTTATAAGCACTGGATTTGAAAGATTAATGCTTTTCAAAACCCTAGGGTGTAATAGAAAATGAAATTTGACATCATAGGAGATGGTATTTTCTTCTCATTGCTGTTGGTATTCTCTTATAGGGCACCATGTTGCCAGAGGTGCTGAATCTGAATTAATATGTAAAACCTAGCCCTCTGGAAATGTATGGTTATTAAACATCTTGCAGTGGGTTGTTGCAAAAGAAAGGTCAGTGGCTTTGAATAATCCCTGCAATAATTCCATTATCTTGGTCTTGGGTGGCATCTTTGTTACTAGGGCTTTGCTACAAGCCACTTTAAATATCTTCTTGCAGATTTAAGTTTTTTTATATCATTCCGTCTTTCAATGTGATTTCATTTGGCCTTTTGATTCCCCACTTGGTGCATTGTTCTGTTGTCACTTTTGTCACATTAAAGGAGAAATATGATTTTTTTTCTTCTTCTGATAAATATCATCTGGATGTGTAGTCAAGTCAAATCATATTTTCATCAAGCTAATGGACACCACAATATTAACAAGTACAGTACTTACTATAAACGCCATCATTAAGTACTGCTTCCATCCTAATACTTGTATCAACACTAAAACATATATATATCAACACATATATATCAAAATATCACTTTGAGCACATCCATCCAAGTCAGGGGTAGAGAACATGGTGCCCTTCATTTGTTTTTTTATTACTACTCCCATCAGTCTTACCCAGAACTGCAAATGTTAAGAGACTATGGTAATTAATCTCCTATGCTCATTTATCAGGGAATAGAGTCCATTGAGCACAACTGGATTCATTTTTGAGAGAGCATGTATGGTGTAACAGAGGTTAAAAAATAGAGACTACTCGATAATAGTAACAAAAAATATTCAGAGGTGATGCAAAAAAGCCTGGAATATTTTTAACTTTATAGTATGATTTTTTTCATGGATATCTCCTTTTCCCAATTCTTTCAAGCCAGAGTAGACTTTATTTTCTTTTTTGACTCATCTTTCTGTCTTAAATAACAGAGACAGCCATAACAACACAGGCGGGATTATAGCAATAAATCAGTAAATAAAAGGTTTTAGCACCATCAGAAGAATCATACACAAGCAGGAGTGAATGTAAAAATCCAGTCCTTAAGTTCAGAGTCAACAGAAGCCAAGGAAAACCTGGAGGTTGATAATACAGAATGTTTGATTATATGTTTATATGTTTAACAGCAAAATTGAAAGATGTGCTCACATTGCTCTAATTTAGGGAGTTGAAAATCTTGTCCCCTGCCATTTTGTTCCAAAAAGAAAGCCAAAATGCTATAATTTTTGAACAAAGAACTTGGGTCTATCAAATCTATCATACCAGAGCTTCATATTGAAAGCAGGGAATGTTCACATTATAGAATTATAAGGCTACTATTTCACACTAACTACCATGGTGCCATTCTGTGGAATCCTGGCATTGGCATTGTAGGGAAAGGCATTTAAAAATCTCAGCCAAGGAGCTCCTCTGGTGCCTCAGGCCAAACAACAAACCACCAGGATTTCATCCAGTTTAGCCAGCTAAAGTCAGATTATTTTGGTTAGACAACTTTAGCAGAGACCCATAATTGAGAAAAGTAAGGAATAAATAAGTGCAAGTTCCATAACCAAGTTAAATTCTTTAAAAAAAAGACCTCTCAAAATATTTGCAATCTGCAATCCTAATAGGCAGGCTGCAGAAAGTGGGAGATGGCATCTTCCCCAGAAAGGCATCTTGGTAGAAGTCTTGCATCTAAAGCCACTGACACCTGGAATTCACAAGACATGTATTGCTTATTTTTCCCCACTTTAGCCACAATGGAATTTAATTTGTATTTTTTTTTTAAAAAAAACTCAATTGAGAGATTGTGCCATACATAGACCTTTGATTTTAAAATGGCATTGAACTTTGTATAGATGGATAGAAACTAAGTACAAATGTCTTTTAATTTGTATATATATCAAAAAGCCCAGGTTTTTTTTTAAAAAAAATCTACCATTTGCTTTGTATTTTACAGATGCCCAAGGACTCGACCCGGAAGTCTCAAAGGCAAACTCCTTTGGCTTTATTGGGTGCATGTCATCTGTTCAGTACAATCACATAGCTCCATTGAAAGCTGCCTTACGACATCCCAGTATAGCACCCGTGACAGTCTTGGGCTCCTTGTCTGAATCAAATTGTAGAGCTTTGGTAGCTCTTGATGTGAATACAGTGACTACAATATATTCTTCATCAGGTAATCTCAACAATTTTTGTGTAAAGTTCCTTTTTAATAGCTCTATTTTTCAATTCTTTGTGTTTTTTAGCTAATCGAACTAGGTCACTACAATGGTATTCTTCTAATACACTCCACATTTCAGGAGCTAGCTCAGCAACAAGCTTATGACTAGATTTTCTTTTATTAATACAAGTTTGTTTGCATTGCACCACTGAATCCCTTTTAGTAAAAGTGATTTGTACTCTCAAATAGAAGGATCATAATGACTAGTCTCTTAAATGCTAGGACAACCTGGTAGCAGTAACTATTTCTACTGAATGGAAAACAGGGACAAACTGTTTTTGTTTTAACTAAGCAAGTGCCAAACTGATCAGCAATGTCTAATTGAATTTATTTATGTACCTGTCTATTTCTTCACCTGCTTTTGCTGAACCAATTTAACAGACCAGAGACAGGAAGGTACCATCTGGAAACCCAGAAGCGGAAGTAATGAGTAGTCTGAGGGTTTTTAGTCTGTGAAAAATCACACTTGAATTCTCATTGCTGTAGGAAACACATAGAAGAGCCTATCCCTGCAGCAACATATGTAAGCTTCAGTGCATTGGAGAGGTCACAATTCTAGTGACCTCTTTCTTCTCACTGTATGATTACAGTCACAAGAATGAACTGATAGATACCTCCATATTGCTAGTAGCTCTCATTATGAAGAAAAATCGTCTAGTGTGCCATGTCTTTTGATCACTACTACAACACATGGCTAACTTCATATCTCTCACTAGTAGCATTCAGAGCAGAGGTCTAATCAGGGTGGGAATAATGCAGCCCTCTAGATATGATTGATCTACAGCTCTCAGGATTATCCATTCTGGTTATGCTGGGTAGTACTTCTGGGAGTTGTAAGTCGACTATATCAGGGCCTGCAGTATTCATATCCTAGTTTCATGGTATTTATTTATTTATTTATCATGTCAGTAGCAACCAGACAATTGTATTACATTTTAAACAATTTTTTAACAAACAGACAAAACAGAGTTTGCAAGCTTGGTAGTTGATTAAATGTCATTTGACCAGTAGCTGGCCACTTGGAGTGCCTCTAGTGTTGCTGCAAGGAGGTCCTCCATTGTGCATGTGGCAGGGCTCAGGTTGCATTGCAGCAGGTGGTCTGTGGTTTGCTCTTCTCCACACTCACATGTTGTGGATTCCACTTTGTAGCCCATTTCTTGAGGTTGGCTCTGCATCTCGTGGTGCCAGAGCGCAGTCTGTTCAGCGCCTTCCAAGTCGCCCAGTTTTCTGTGTGCCCAGGGGGAGTCTCTCATTTGGTATCAGTCATTGGTTGAGGTTCTGGGTTTGAGCCTGCCACTTTTGGACTCTCGCTTGCTGAGGTGTTCCAGCGAGTGTCTCTGTAGATCTTAGAAAACTATTTCTTGATTTAAGTCTTTGACGTGCTGGCTGATACCCAAACAAGGGATGAGCTGGAGATGTCACTGCCTTGGTCCTTTCACTATTGGCTGCTACTTCCCGGCGGATGTCAGGTGGTGCAATACCGGCTAAGCAGTGTAATTTCTCCAGTGGTGTAGGGCGCAGACACCCTGTGATAATGCGGCATGTCTCATTAAGAGCCACATCCACTGTTTTAGTGTGGTGAGATGTGTTCCACACTGGGCATGCATACTCAGCAGCAGAGTAGCATAGCGCAAGGGCAGATGTCTTCACTGTATCTGGTTGTGATCCCCAGGTTGTTCCAGTCAGCTTTCGTATGATATTGTTTCTAGCACCCACTTTTTGCTTGATGTTCAGGCAGTGCTTCTTGTAGGTAAGAGCACGGTCCAGATGTTTTGTTTTTTGTCGTGTCAGGAGCAACCGCTCCTGTTGTGAGAGAATTGGCCGTCTGCAAGGACGTTGCCCAGGGGACGCCTGGATGATTTTTGATGTTTTATCATCCTTGTGGGAGGCTTCTCTCATGTCCCCGCATGAGGAGCTGGAGCTAATAGAGGGAGCTCATCCGCCTCTCCCCGGATTCGAACCTGTGACCTGTCGGTCTTCAGTCCTGCTGGCACAGTGTTTTAACCCACTGTGCCACCGGGGGCTCCACAGTCCAGAGTGACTCCCAGGTATTTGGGTGTGCTGCAATGCTCCTGTGGGATTCCTTCCCAGGTGATCCTCAGAGCTCGGGATGCTTGTCTGTTCTTGAGATGAAAAGCACATGTCTGTGTTTTAGGTGGGTTAGGGATCATGGAAAACACCAGACATAAATTATAATGGTGATCATCATCAATGTGAGAAATCAAGGCGAGTGAAAAGTAAGGACAAATGTTGGTGCTCAAAAAGATCATATGGTATAGTGGAAGGATTGACATGAGTAATACACATCAAAGAAAAAAAAAGGGAATAGTTTTGTATTTTTATTTAAGAAAAATGGATTTAAAATTGCCACAAAGTGATTAATAAATTAACAAGTGAAAACAATACCAAAGTAGTGCCCCCAAATGTAGTGAACAGTTACATTTTTAAAAAGATATATTAAAAAAGATAGCAAAGCTAATAAAATCACCTTGGTGATTTGCCTGAAAATAGAGAATGACTACTCAAACCAACTTAGGAAAGAGTTCCAAACATATGAGAGACCCTTTGAAAAAAATCAAAGGTCCATCCAGTTCAGCATTGTGTCTGTTGGAAATTCATAAGCAAGCCATGTGTGCTATTTCCTGCTCTACAGAATCATAACACTAGAAGAGGCCCTGTGGATTGTCAGGCCCAACCTTTTTTTTTTTTTTTTGAAGATATCTAAAAAAGAATCCCACATGCAATTGTGGCAGAAGTTTCAATTTGAGTTCAGTTGAAATCTACTCTTCCATAATTTAAAAACATTAAAGCTCCTACCACAATGTTTTTATCTTTTCTTCAATTTAGTTTCACCCAAATGCTCTTCATTGTTCTAGTTGGGTTGCTCACATGAAATTCTGTACAAGTGAATTGAATTTGTTTTTGACATATAGTCCTACTTTCCCACTTCTTCCCTATGTATTCTTTTTTGAAGAGAGTATATCCTTCATATGTTTAAATTCCAATCACAGGAATCATCCTGCCAAGTGTCTGTTGCCTGCCCATCCCCGAAATAAAGAGACAACACACCATAATTTGGATTAAATTATGGGCAACTTTATTTAAATGTTACCTATTTAATTTTTGCCTTAACTTAAACTAACAGGGGTAATGAACTTGGATACAAAGCCGAAGAGGTATCCCAGCCGGGTATACCCCTCGGCTAACTGGGGCAAAAACCTAGGTTCCCTGGTAACCATACCCGGGCAACCTCTAAGGGAAATGTGAAAGGGGTCTTTCTCAAACTTGTTGAGACCAGACTCTCCCATTTCTGGGCCATCCGATTTCACCTCACCAAATAACTTAACTTTTAGGTGAGTGTTTTAGCAAAGGGCCCACACCCCTAACGGGGGTGCCTTGTGTGAACTTTTGTGCTTCCTTAGCTATTTTCCACCACTGAATGGGGACAAATGTCCATTTAGTCCCCATGCCCCACCATTTTACCTAACCCTCACCTAATCCCTTTTTGTAGGTCTGATAGAAATAAGGTGTTTCCCATGTTGGAGAGATGGATACCATCCGTCCTATATAGTTGAGTTTTTTCGTGTGTAATGTCAGTGTGTGGCAAATATGATCCATTACCACTTGCCAGCGCCGAACGCATGGCACGGTTTACACGCTTTCTAGCTCTCTCGAGCTTGTGTACTTCACCGCCGCTGGCCCATTTAAGCCGCGATATGATGGCTGACCAAACAATGTGTACTTGTGGCCATGCCTGCCCAATTCTGAAAATGTCTTCTCGTGCTTGTAGGTAAAGCGCCCTACCTTTGAGAAGACCCAGGTCATTTCCCCCAAGGTGTATGACCAATAACGGGAACAAACCGTCCCAACGAAGACCTCTTTTTCCTCTCCACTCGACCGTGGCGATGGAGGCAAGGCCCAAGTGCTGACCATAGGGAGTCCTCCAGGCTTGTCATCCGGCCCAATGTATGTAGCTATGGCCACATACCAAGACTCTCCATCTATGCAACAGCATCACTGAATCTGAAATGATAAACAATATAACTTTAGAAACAGTTAACGAATATAACCCCTATAAGCATTGGACTTCCACCTGCCCAAAGCCTTAATTGCCTTAGTGTCATAGTCAAGCCGAGCTGCCATTGTAGCAGCCCCAATGCGAAATGAATGTCTTCCAAATTTGTGATGTAGTAAACCAATCATTTTTAGGGCTTTCGTCGTGACCGCCCAAAATTGATATTTGATCAATGGTGTGCGATCCCAATGGCAAAAAAGATATCCTGTGTTAGCGGATCTAACCTGCTCTTGTATCAACCCCAAGCCCAAAAGTAAATATGAGGGAAACCATGGTAACTTCCTCCAAAGAAAAGGCACCCTCCAATGAAAAAAGGGGGGACCCCCAGCAGGGGATGGGGAGGCTGGGAACAACCCACCGAGCCCCCCAACTGTCCCCCAAATGCACAGAAGCCCAGGCCTGCTTTCCAGCCAAAGGCCTGTTAACCAAAAGGGCCGCCATAAGACTGGAGATGGGGGGGGGGTGGAGGACCGGGAGGGATAAAATCCTGATGGGAGCAGGAGGAAGAAACAGGGGATTGGGGGGGCGGGAAGACAGCGCCTCCCCCCGCCCCCCAAAAACAGCGGAGGCCTGCTCCCCACCACAACGGGAATCAGGGGAATGAAAAATGGCTATGGGGGGGGCGGGAAGGCCACACCACCCGACCTCCCCCCTCCCCAACCCCCAAAATGGCAGAGGCCTGCTCTCCGTCATGGCGGAGAGCAGGAGAATGAAAAACGGTTGTGGGGCGGGGGTGGGAAGGCCACACCGCCCGGCCTCCCCCGACCTCCCAAATGGCGGAGACCTGCTCCCCGCCGCAACGGGGAGCCGGAAAGTGAACACGGTGACAGGGTGTGGGAAGGACGTGCCGCCCGGCCCCCCGCCCCTCAAAACGGCGGGG